GACTACTGAACCGCGCTAAACTAGTACCAGTTCAACAGTAGGGCTTGGCGCGGTTCAGTTTAGTTAATTCATCTAAGGCTTCGTTCTTCGCCTGACTCTCTGCAGACAACAAAATATGACTGTTATATCAAAACGTCCTGAATGTTACGGGCACCACCATGTTGATTTGCTTGATTCCCTCCTTCAATCCTAGAGAGCAGTAGTACCACAGATCGTCACTAGGAGGCGAGGAACTGGTCCAAGCTCTTTCCGAACTCGGCACGGATTGGTTTCAGAGGGCTAGCGTAAATGGGGGTTTCTTTCATCCCAATAAAACCTTTTTGAAGTTTAGGAAAGTTATGTTATATTTCAGTAACCGGATCTAATTGTTTTGGTTGAGAAAACCAGGACCTTTTATTTACACTAACAATTACATTTTTGTTCATGTTATTTACCATTGTACTTATTCAACCAGCTACAATGCTGGGTGAATAACAGCAATCATTCCTACAGATATTTGCGAGTTAGAAATGCAATCAAAACATGCAAAAACAAACTTTCAAAACATTCTTACTTTTTTTCCAAGCTACTATTGACATATGAGGTTTAAGATCCAAGTTCTTTCAAAGGTAAAATGATTAAAATAATAAACTGGTACAAAACTGGATACATGTGTTTCATTGTTGATGTTTTGCACATAGGCTGTAAAGAGATGCTGAAACAGGAGTGTTGGATCCTTCCTGCTGTATTTAAGATCAATATGTTGGTTGTTACTAGGGAACCGCTTGTCCTGCGTTGCATTCTTACCACCAATCTCCTTCATTTTCCGGGGCTCTGTGTCTGCTGTGGTCTCTCTGTTAATAAGAACCAGTCCCTTCCAGAAATATATAACCCCACTAACTACACAACTACCTCTGATCTTAGAGTGGTAAACATGTTCACTGTGGCAGGGGCTGGCCACATTACAGCTGTAACACAGCCACACCGCCCCATGTTATGATGACCTTTGATGTAAAAACAATAAAAGAAAAAAGGAGGCAAATAATAAGATAAGGTACCTCTGGACTGAGAGTCCTGGGGTCTTCCTGGCTCTACTCACCAACTGGGGAGAACAACTACATACCTTCTTGGGCTTTTTTATCAGTTTTTATTCACACTTCTGATAGGATCATTGAAGTGATAAAATAGTCAACCAGCAGTTGGTATACAAGTCAAAATTGTGTTGGGTTATTTCCCCTCACATATGGTTTATAAGTAACTTTTATTCTGGTAGCATTTTAAGCCACATTCATGACAGAAACAACAAATTATATGATGCATGTTTAAATTTTTAATCATAAAAAAATCAACCCATGCACTTTTTTAAAGGAAGATGTCAAAACATGTCTAACCTTAACCTGATAATTACAGGGGGCTATTCTTTAGGGGGATATTGCCTTTTCTTACCCCATTTACATGATAAAAATGAAAAAGTGATAACACATTTTGCACCATTGTCAAATCAAAGAAAAAGAAGCATTTAACAAATTAAATACAACATATTTATGAAGGATGGCAAATGGAGGGAGCAGTAATGAATAATGCTGACATGATCTTAAAGAATGTCTGAATACACTAATGAGTCAATCAAGGGATACACTCATTGATTGATACCCTCAAAGAGAAAAACTATTTATATTGGGCCAAAAATTTCTCCTGGACGATTTATTGGTCTATTTCCTGTGACCTAGAAAATCACTCTAAAGTGGGATCATGCATTAAACACTTTATGGTGTAGATTTCTTGGAAGTACCATGGTAACCGTGGGGCCTTCTAAATGCAGGCAGCTCTGCAAGGTAGACTTTATTTAAGACGCTCATTGAGAATATAAGAAATGGTGTGGGACTTGAGGGCATATCTCGTTAAAAACATTTACTTTATTTATTTTCAAATCAAAATCAGTCTTTCAAAGTGCCCTTCACTCAGTCAGCAATTTGTCAAAATAAATCTTTTATTATAGCTTTCAGCTATAATAGACTCTTTTTTTGAAGTCAGAAGGAAGTAGTTCATTGTTATGTCCTAGGTTGCTCATGGTTTCAGCCAAAAACACTGGGTTATAAAAGCACTCAAGATTTCTGACACATTTTCAATCAATATTGTGTCAGCTTGTTTGGGTTTCCAATAGGGAATAATTGTAACAGTGCAATACTTGTTTTCAAGTGAAAACTTTACCTGCTATTTCCAAGTATTTCAGGGCCCTGTGAGTCTACTCCCTGGCTCTCGGGAAACTCTTTTGATATTCTTTTGACTACTCTTCCAGGAAGCTTTAGAGGGACTGGTTTATATTTAAAAAAAAAAAAGTGTTGAATACATATTTTACTTGTTTGTGTGAATTTCTGGTTTCATGTTTTTATGTGTAATACTTGCATATTTTTTTTTGCCAAAGTCTAATTGTCTCATCTTTGTTACTTTCCCCCAAGCCTTTAGTGGGTAGGCTCTATGCCTAGAAGCACTAAAGTGCTTGAAGCCATCTGAATTGGTTTTAACTACCTGCTCCAACTGCAACATCTCTGTGTAGATTAGGCTTTATTGGGGCTGGAGGGCATATGGAAGCGTAGTTGACAGGATTAAGAGGCTATTGAAGTCACTTAAGCTCCTTTAGAGAGCAAAAGACAAGAAAAGAGAATAACTCGGCCCCTGTATTTAACAGATATCCCTTCTTGTGCTCGCTTTCTTCTACCCAGCACCGATAAAGAAGCTCACTATCCACCAATAAGAGCCCTGTTAGATCTTCTCACATCCAGAGAGAGTCACAGACCAAAGATTCTGTTTCGCGCTGTAATTGGGTATATCTGATGCTTAAAATGCCGTTGTTGATCTGGTACGTTGTTACAGTCTGGTCTGAATGGGAGCAAAAAAGCAGATGTATGGTTTTCTTTCTTATGTTATGGAAGCAAATATTGATGCTAGTTTTGGCTATTTGTATGAAACACTGAGATCATTTACAATGGATGAAAAAATACTAACATTATTAGGTTAGCATTGTATCCATGTGTAGAAATAGGGGAAACATGATGTGACTTTGCATAAATCTATATAGATTTCTTGCTTGCTACATAAAATTAGAGACACTTTTTCTGATAATTCTTAGGAAGATGGTTGGAACCTTTTAAAAGCTAATTTAAAACCTAAAAATAGAAATATCTAAATCCCAGATGTAGTGTGGGGTCCTTGTAATTAGAGTTGTTCCGATTCGGATACCAGTATCGGAAATTATCCTGAAAATGCTGGCATCGGTATCAGCAAGTATTGTACTCCAGGCATAGATCCGATAGGAATTAAAATAGGAGTCTTTTTACTGGTTAGTTCAGTTAATTCTGACACAGATCTTCTGCGCCGCTCTTAAAACAGTTGCACTGTGCTGCTGTTTCAGACAGATGAAGAGTTGATCCCCTGACACCTGTCGGAGAAGGAGCTTGCTGCTACTACTACGTTTTTTTTCATACTGTTCTACATAAAGATTAATGGCTTGAATCTGCTGTATTCATTAATGGTTCCATTCAAAGTTTTAACCTCAGCCAGTCCTGATGACAATGATAATCACATATATATGATTATATATATGTTTCTTGTAACATACTGATATCAGTACTCTGTTTCGTCCAATGCTCACAGCACAAGCATCAGGTTTGTACCGGTAGAGAAAAAAATGTTTCAGGAGCATCTCTACTTGTAATACAGGAATTGGAACCTCTGACCGAGTCTCAAGTCTTTCACAAGTTACATCTTTTCTCCCATAAACTCTAACAAGCTTTTCTGTTACTGCTTAGAGACATCAGACTCACAGCCTAATAATCCCACAGCAGTGTTTTAGTGTGGGGTATGTGTGCTCGTGATTATGGTTAGTGTTAATTTTCTGTCCATAAATGTCTTCTGGAAAACTGCATGCAAAACTTCCCATGAATGTCTTTGTAACAATAGATTTCCTCTTGCCACATGTCAGTCAGACCAAATTTGAAAGATTGAAAGTTATACTGTCAACAGATTTCCCAACTTGACAACAACACCTCCAAAGTTGCCATGACCCTCTACTTCTCTGAATAATGATAACCTTTTTCCCTCTCAGTTTATGTGAACAGTCTTGTCTTGCTAGATATGCCATTTCTGTTTTCTGATCATGAATTAAAGAGAGCTCTTTGAGATTTCCGGAGCCCTAGATATTGTTTTACAACTTAAACCTGCAATAAACTTTGTCTCAGCTTCCTCCGTGACCTGTCTACGGTGTTCCTGGCTATTTATTATATACCTTGTTGACTATGGGTGTGGGAAACAATCGATTTGGCAAAATATAATGATTTTCGTCTGCCCGATACAATATCAATCTCTTAGTTTCTAATATCGATTTAACTGTTCAACGCAGCACTGTTGCTATAAATGAGGCAGTCACAGTAGAAGACGTGGACAGACTCAAACCCCCCAAAAATATGGATACCAAAATAACTGAATGATCAATACCTTCTGATGAACATACACAGAACTCGCTTCTTTATTATATATACATTTATTTTGATAGTTGGGTAAAACTTTTCAATATATAGTGATATTGCAATATTGTGATGATGTTGTATTGTGCGACATATATCGCAACACATATGTCAGTACTCGGCCCATTGTTGAGTAATCTCTAAAGAAACCCTTAAATAGTCTTATCTTTATATTGTAATTTAGCTACATACAGGTGGACTGAATTTAAAAAGACACAATCTTTCTTTGCAACTTGTCTTTCTTAATTTTATATAAGGATATCAGAGTAAGTGGATTTAATACAAATGCTAGCCACAATTAACATATCTTTGTGTTATTTTTTTGTCAGTACACAACTATACACTACATTGTTTTTGGGCTTTTACATTTTATCCCAATAACACAAACAATACTCTGACATTAACATTTTCTTGTGTCTAAGTCTGAAACATACACAAAGGTATGCACAGGTCCACATGCCAGTGTGCACTAACATTTGTATGTATCTGTGTTGACAGGAAAGACGGCCGGCTCCTGCCTGCAGTCTGGCAGTTGTATACTCAAGCATGCTGTCATCACCATCAGTCTCCAGGCTCCTCGCTGCGCTACATCCCCCGTAGGGCAGTTCTCTACTGCCCTGGCAATGATGAACGAAAATTGAAGAAACTGGCCTTGCTGGATGTCGACTGCGCCGTGCTGGACTGTGAGGACGGCGTGGCCCTCACCAAAAAGGTACACATATGCACCTATTGTGCCTCGTATAAATCGAAATAAGCCTTCTATAAACCGGATATCAGGGAAGGCACAAACACACACTTTGTTTTGTGGTGGATTTTAATTCTACCTCCCCCTGCCAGACAGGTGCTTGGTCTTAATCACTGAAAAGAAAACTACCTAAGTGAGATGTTTTAAAACGAGCACATTCACCCCATTGTGATGGTAGAAAAGCCCTTGGTGCCCCCCATCAGCCTTTTAAAGCAAGGTGACCATGTCCCACTGTTCACCCAGTGGGAAAGCGCCAGATGCAGCAGGTTAAAAGCATTTTCATCCTGCCCACTCAACCTCCTCATTGGCCAGCTGAACTGCCCATGAAATCGTGGTTGGAGCGCAGGATAAAGAGGAAGCCCAGGAAAAAAGTTAAACAACAAAGGTTTTTAAGTCATGATAATAAAGATGATTGATATGGCTGGAGGCTGTTCCTGTAGTAGACAAAGACAATAAGCTGATGGCCTGTGTGACTGACAGGCCAGAAACTCTGACCCTGCGCTGGTGTTGGTGGATCTCAGAGCTTCAGTCTTTATAACGTGTCGAAGGGGGAATGTGAAGAAGAATGCAGCATAGGAGGCCCCATCCAGGCAACTGTTCAGCTCCAAACTACCGATTTTTCACACCATCCAGCACATTCAATTGCTGTATGTCTGACTGATTCTGATGAAAATTATTGTATATTTTAAATAAGATTTAGTTCATTCATTTTCCTTGGTTTTCTAAAAAGCCTCATTTTATCTTAGGAATTAGCTGGTGTGTTTCACTTGCCACCCTGGTGTGTGCTGCTACAATTGAAGACAGACTACATTAGCTACAGGGCAGAACAATTCCTTCAAAATGAAATATAATGTACCTCAGCATGCTTACCACTTGGTCTTCCTCTCGTAACCCTCTGAGTAATGCACATCTAAATACCAACAAAACAATAACTTCAGGAAAATTGCATTCTACATCAGTGGTTGTTCTGCCTAATAATCCCATTACTGCAATCTTTTCATTTCTAAGCATCATAACTGTGCAGGTTTGCCATTATAGTCCTCTTCAACACGATAGCTTTCAGCCCAGTGTGGAATGCTTCTAAGCTATTGCACGTTTCCTTTGTTGTGCTGCAATTTGCTCAGTGAATACATCTGAATTTTTTAGCTACTTCATTTCAGTACATAGTTTTTATTTTGAAGAATTAGATTTCAGTAGTGTAACTTTTCCTTCTATTACTGCCTTGTTTTTAGGTCATTTGTGTTAGAAAATATAATTTCAACGTAGTGACTTTTGCTGAAAAATTTTGGGGCAACAGACTGTGACCATTTTTCGGAATATTTTATTTTACGACCTAAAAACCATTACTAATAATGATCTCATGCAAAGATGCTAAGATGCAGTTGGAAGGCATGTGGGCCCTGATTGGGAGATGATCATGAGAGGCTGATCGCTCCTCGTTAACCTGTATACTACACAACGCAAGACGCACAATGAGGCTGAAACTCGACTGGATCGGAAAAAGTATCACACAACTTAAGAATCGGCCCGAAAAGGCCATAAAAGTGTACAGTGTTTGCCCGCCTTCAGCACCAGTAGGGTTTCAAGTTTGAAAGATTGTTTATTTATTTATTTATTTTTTAAATCTGTGTTTTGCATATCTTGTGGGAGGGGGGTTCAGCTAAGTTGAGAATCGATTGTTTACTCGGGTGCCACAGTAAACATAAGCTTGGCCACCTTGTGGCTCATGGCCATCACCAGGCACCACTGGGAGATTTTCAGAGTTAAAAAGATGGCTTCTTACAGTGGTGCAACCTTAGATTTTTTTCATATTTGTAATTCTTTCATTAAGAAATTAGGCTGCATGTTTTTGAACAGGCTTGTATTTATGTTTTAGAATGTAACCAAAGTTATTAAAAAACTCAATCAAGTGCACAGCAAAACATCAAAATAATCAATTAAAATCAACAGACACCAGATACACATAATAATCATAGGGAAATATTCAATATAAGATAAGATATTTTGTTTATAACAGCTTTTAACCTGGATTGGTTTGCAGACTATTAATGAAAGGCAGCTTTAACAGGTGGATCTTAAGCCTTGACTTAAAGGGATTTGGTCTTTTGGTGGTTTTCTGGGAGTTTGTTCCAAATGAATGGTGCATGATGGATGGATGGATGGACAGACGGACGGACGGAAGAATGGAGATATTTTCTATATTGTGATGACAAAATCTTCAAACAAAGTTATTGTAAAAAAAATAAATAGCAACACTTTCCTCATATCAAATGTTTTTTTTTATTTCTATCTGTATCTTTTTCTGTCTGCTGACATGAAATTAGCTGGTTGCTTTGTTTGCAATAACACATTTTCTTAATTCAATGGGTCTCACAGTCTTTAAATATATTCTAGATGTGATAGACAAGGCATTGTTTATATAGCACATTTCAGTAGCAAGACAGTTGAAAGTTTTGTACATGAAAAAAAGAGTGTTGTCCAATTGCCGTGGCATTGAGGCAACATAAATAGAGAATAAAAGTGACACATTAGATTAAGTATATTAAAAAAAAGATAAAATGATTGATAAAAATAAAGAAAAGATAAAATGACTTAAAAAATTGAATAAAAGTTAGACTGGAAATATAACTATCACTGGTTAGACAGCACTAGAGAAAAACCAAAGCGTTTTTAATCTCTTTAAAACAAAGCATGTTGCTGTGTGTGTATTTGCACAAACAACTGTTGGGGTCCCTACAGCCCCTAAACAATAACTCAAAGTCTTATTATGCTTGTCTAAGGACAGAAAAGCACAGCCTGGGCTTTTTAAATGTTATCTAAAGCAGTGTATAGCCGAAGGCCACAATGGGCTGGATGAAGTGTAAACTTAGTCACTGTCTATACAAGAATGGGCCTTCAGCAGGACCTCCTGTATTTCTTTACTTCTTCCCTATTGTACACTTTTTTTTAATCCACAAACTTCACCTCTAAAGGAGATAAGTATGTTTGTACATTACCTAAACTCTCTCCCCCTCCTTGAAAGTTGAAAACTTTGAATTTATGCGTTAATTGCCGCTTTACTGTGTCTCTGTGTTTGTTGAAGTGGTGAGTCTTTAAGAGGGTAGAGAGGTAAGACAGGGAGTAAAGGGTAGCAGCCACCCAGAGTTTGCTAACTGTCATCATGGAACTGATGGGAGGAGGAGGAGGAGGAGGAACGGAGGAAGGGAAGATAGGGCTGACTGCTCTAACACTTTTACACATATCATCATATCTGTATGATCAGTGGGGTTCATGAATAAGGAGGAGCAGGTTAAAACCCTGGGGCGGAACTGACGGCTACACCTGTCCTCTCTTCTCTGCTCTCCCTTGCCGTCTTGTTCTCTATATTGCTTGTCTCCCTCTCTTCAGTGTCCTTAGGGTTACAATTGTTTATCTCTCCCTCCCCCGTGTTCCCTCTCTGTCTCGTTTTGCCCTTTGGTCCAGTATTCCTCCTGGTGTTTCTCTTTCCCCTTCCCTTTCCCCACATGGGTCCCTCCATCCCTGATGACTCCCCCCTGCCACCCTGCCGCAGAGAGTCTCTCCTAATCCCTGGAAGTTTGGAACTAATGAACTAACTGCTGAGCCGCTGCCACGGAGCTTGGTCCCAAACTATACTGTACTTCACACTCGATTTCCTCTCCAGATGGCATAGTGGCGCGGCCGACACAACGGGGAGCACCTCTCACACACCAGCATGCGCCTGTAAGCGAGCACAAAACGGGCACAATGCAAGCATGCACAGACGTCTGAATGTGCTAATGTCTGCGCATGTAGACATACACACCAGTGTCTGCACACAAAAGCAGAATCAGAGAGAATAAAATAGAGTAGAGAACTGCCGGTAGTTCAGTTTAGGTACATTCAGACAAACAGCACCCTGGACCCAACATCCCCCTGGGTTTTCACTCCAGGTCCTCTAAATTTCCTCTGAGACCCAAAGTCACTGGGTGGATGCAGCAAATTAACTCCACTGAAGTGTGAAACGTAGCTGCTTAGTGAAGTGTCAGTGCTCCAGCAGTGGACACTCAGCTTTAAAGCTCTTTAACCAGGAAGTGTGCTTCAGTTGAACTATTGTAGATTTTTCATGTAGTACATAACTAAAGACCACCAAGACATTAGATAATAAGTAAAGGCTGCAGAATTTTGTAAAATGACGAAAATTTAAAACACAGGATGCAAATATAGTCAAATTCAGTCCAGCTGATCACTGATATTTGAGGAGGAAACAATATATTTGATTATCACAGTAAATCACAGTAAACACATTTCAGAACTGATAAGACATGTGCTTATTTTAAATTCAAAATATATTTCCATGTACATTTGATGCTATTCTTTCTCGGGGGTTTTTCCCCCTATATAGCTGTATTAATTTGATGTTTGCTCCAACTCTAACAGTGACTGAACCATTCTCATCCTACAGTCAGCTTTAGTGGCTTGTTAAAAAAAAAAAAAAGTCATTTAGAATTAATAGCTCTTTAAACAGATTTAAATTTCTTATCATGATTGTTTTTTTTTCTTTTTAGCAATACACTTACCTGATTATCAATCCCTTGATAAAGTTGTGCAAACACGTTTATTGTCTCCATTACTTATTGCCAACTGTAACATTTCCTGTAATATAAATGTATGTTCAAGATTTTTATTCTTCAGAAATGGTCATGAATAGGTTTACGGTGCAGAAGCAGTTCATTTGAAAGAGAAAAGAAATGCCTATTCATATTTCTGCTTAAAATTAACTTTTCTAACCATTACAAAATTATTTTTAAAAGACAAGAAACAGTCTTTTTTTGGAATAAATGTGCTAAATGTTAATTTACTATAAAAAAAACTTTAGTCTTTTTTTGGAATAGATAATAAACAATTTATATTGTGGTTTCAAAAATAATAGTGGGTGGCAGTCCTTTAGTTTGCACCCTAAGACTGTTTTTCCACAAACAAATATTTTC